AAACTTTAATACACTTTTTTTCTCAACAAAGAGAAAAAGAAGCCTTTGCAGGGAAAAAAATGACCTTCCAGGTGCAGCTGATGGTACCTTTACTTAATCCTGCTCCCCAGAAATGACCTAAAATTCACATATGTGAGTTTTTCCCTCCCCTGGGAAGATTTAGTAGGAATCACAGTCTTAATCTCAAATTGGAGTTTTCGCCGTCTTTCCCTTCCCTCCCCGTTCACATATTCCTCAGAGATCTACTAGGATGGCTCAGTGAGGGAGTGTGTCAGTTTCAGGGCCCCTGGTAAGAAGCAGACCGCACAACCCAAAGGAGTAATTTGAAGAAGGTGAAGTAGAGGGGCTATTTAGAAAAGTGAGATAGGGTTAAAGAATCAAGAGATAGGGACTGCCCAAGGTTTAGCAATAACGGGAAGCTACTCCTACGCTCTAAAGAGATAAAGGGATGGGAATGGCAGTTGGAGGACATGAACTCTGACCTTCAGTAAAGGAAGGTAGCCACTGCCACACTGCTGTCCTTATAGAGGAAGCGCTGACTTTCCTCCAGATTTCTGGGCTAGTTCCCCACATGGGCAGACCCAAGGGAGCACAGGTGATACAGTCCATACAGTGGGCAGAGCAGTCTGGACAATTCACTGGGGAACAACCAGCACAAATGGTAAGTTTCAGTGGGATGGGAGCAAACATATCAGAATGTGGGGTGGGGTGGGGCGGAGAATGTATATAGTTTTCAAAAAAAAAAAGAACAAAAAACCCACTCAGAGTTTCTAGAAGAGTATAGTCTCATCCTCCTCCCACAGAAGATCAAGTACTACTGATCGAAATAAGTAAAACTGCAGCAAGAGGGTGTCAAATAAGCTAGGTGATTGGAGAGATGATTCATTTGCATACTTATAAATTAGTCATTCACCAATCATCAGAGATGAATTTGTACCTCTAGGCATCAAGCATGCAAAAATGAATTAGATACTTCTGTATGTTTGAAAATTTTTATAATAAATGTTGGAATTAATAGATTCTGTAGATTCCCTGACTTTGAAAATCTAATAGACTGGATCAGCAAGGTTTCCTGGAGAAATGAAAGGCTCAACTAACTCTGGGCTAGCCAGACAGGAAAGAGCCAGGAAGAATGTTCAGGAGGGATGTTATGTTGAGTGGGTGTGGGAGAGTAGGAGGAGTTGAGGTATAGAGGAAGAAATCTACTTCAAAGTTCAGGTTTGCATTATAATGTGTGCATTTTAGAAAAAATCCCTTGATCATCCGGGCCAAGGATGAATTGTTGGAATAACAACAACAACAACAACAACAACAACAAAGAAAGAGAATTGAGTTGGGGGTTGGTGTGAGCAATGGCAATGCCCGAAACAAGGATGTGAACAATAGAGCTGGACACCCAACGATGAAGAGGGATAGATGCAAGTGATACTCATGAGGAATAATTAATGGGACTCGGGAACTGAAGTGGTATGAAACAGAGGGAAGATGCTTTGGTGCTGTTTTGCCTTCTCGTTATCCCCTTACTTTTTCAGCTTACAGCTCCCCAGTTTTCCTTTGAGAACACTGCTCCTGCCTGCCTCGCTGAGTATAGCTTTCACGGAACTATTATCCACAGATTCTGGCCTTCTGTGGTTAACAGGGTGGTTACATAACCTAAGCCAGGCCAGTCTTTGTGTCTTGGGAATTTGGGAGTTTGGGTTTGGGCTTGATCCTAGATCCTGCTTGGTTTGTGTCTTTTTAAAAACTTCCTTCTTTAGTTTCTTCCTCCTTAATTTTGTATGCTACCCAAAGGCGTTCATAACAATTATTTCTTTTTATCTTCAATGAGCTATTTTCTATTGCTGAAACCAGAAAACATCAATTGATTATAGTAGCCATGTAAATAATGGTGCCTTCCACTGAGAGACAGAAAACAGGTGGAGGAGAAAGTTTGAGGTGAGTTTCTTTGGGGAATGGGTGGGCAGTTTGCTTTCGAGAAGCCTCGAGAGAACTAAAGGAAAAAATCCAAAAGTTGGCCCTGGAGGCTTATGCGGAACTCTGAAAATGACACCATAAGGTGTAAATGCCATCTCTGGTACTTAGACATAATAAGTCCTACCCAACAAACTCGCCTCCTAAGGACTTACTCATACTTCTCTGGGAAGAGTAATGCTTCAGAAGCTGTAGGGGAGAGTGGGTAGAGCCTAATTCTAAGCACTGGGAGCCCTGGGTCCTGGCTCTGGCTCTTTCATTAATTAGCTGGATAACCTTGTACCAGTGACCCTCCCTCTCTGAGCCTCAGTTTCCACGTTATTGAATACAGAGGCTGAATTATATTGGGTGTTCTCCAAAAATTTCAAAAGAATTTTAAGTTTATATGTAAAAGGGTCAGCTATATCAGGGAAACTGGGTTCAACAAACCTTAAGCCAGTTTCCTTACTGCAGGACTTCTCAGAATCTTAAATATGCTCATTGGTGATACAAATCTCCAAGAGTGGTGAAAGCCAGCATTTCTCACCCTATTTTTGCCCAAGAACCCCCCTTCCCCACTTTCTTGAAGAAACACATAGAACTAGTAGTCGTCAGAACACACTTGCAGAAATGCTGGATCAGGTGGCTTTCAAGGTGGTTGCAGCCCTGCTTCCTAATTTTGTATGGCCCATGCCCTCTTTACCGTCTCTTTCTTTGGGATGGTTGACTCCCAGGCTCTGTTCTAAAGTGTTCTCCCAAAGAAAAGCAAGCACACTTGAATGCCTAGTAAGTCACTTAAAGATCTAGTCAGGCTCAGGAAATTTCCCATCAGCTTAAATGGAAAACAAAGTCCCTGCCCCCCACCCCACCCTTACACTGTGCTCAGAGCACAGACCCAGGCCCAGCCTAAAGGGATTGCAAAACATGCTCTAGCGTGCATTTGGGAAAACAAAGAAAACTCCACTCTTTTCTGCTCCAGACAGTCTGAGACGCTTTTGTGCCCTTGGTTCTTTGCCCAGTTCTCTCATCTGCCTCAGTCCTGGTACTAAATTGGTTCAAGGTTTGGAGGAAAGTTTCAGAGGAAAGGATGTTTAGAGTTCTTAAAAGCTGAAGTCACTCTATGGACCAGGGCTTAGACTCTTTATGGCCACCAGAGGGCGCTGAGAACAGCATCGGTACGGAAAGCTGCTCCCAAGAAAAACAGCAGTAAATTAAGCCTAATGTGTTTAGGAATGATGGAGGGGCTGAAGGGTGTGTGACTGTGTATGTACGTGTACACGTACGTGCAGTTGGGTGCCTGGAGCTATGATTTTGAAAATATGTTAAATGGTATAAAATAAAATCTACACCTCTACTATAAATTCACAGGATACGGTCAAGTCGTTGAAAATTTCCTTCAAGGAAAATGAGGCAGAAGGAATTAGAATAGCATTTATATGAAAGAAAAGGAAAGAGCTCTCAGTAGCGTAATTATTATTGTGGTATGTGTGATTGTGCATAGTGTGAGGCGATGCATGTACACATGTGTGTATGTGATTGAGTGTGAGGGTGTATATGGGTGTGTGTGTGAGAGCCTCAGTATAAGCATGTGTGTGCATGCAAATGTGGGGGGGGGCGTGTGCACGCACGTGCATGTTCAGGGCTCATTTAGACTTTTCCAGTGTGAGCAGACCTTAAGGAAGTCTGGGCAATACTTCCTCCAGTTGCTGCCCTCTCCCTCCAAACAAACAAACAAAATCATTCCTACAAGTATTTATGGAGCCTCTAACACACGCGCCCCTCCCCACCAGCATCTGGAAAAGCTCAGACCTGGCCAATTTAGAGCGCTATGGAAGAATGAAGGCTCTGGGGGCGAAGGGATGTCTCACACGTGAATGACTGTTTTGCAAAAACAGTTTCTCTTCTTTGATGCTCCAAACAACCCAGTGAGGTGGTCCCAAACAGAGCTGTGGCCCCTTGCTTTGAGGAAACTGAGGCTCAGAGGGGACATGATTGGCCCGGAGTCACCAAGTCAGGAAGCAAAAGCTGACTATGGACACGCATTGTCAGTCCAGGGGTCCTAGTCCCGGCCATCGCGACTTTTAGCTGCACAGCGGGCGTTGGGTCTAGGCAAAGCAGGACCCGTCTGCGTGTAGGGTTTGTCAGCAGCAGCCTGACGAACAACACTATCAAACATTTTATGTGATATGTGTGACTGTGAAATGCGTTAGATCAACAAAACAGTCCTTTAGGAAGAAGTTGCGGATCTTTGCCAAGATGAGGTAGGATCTTTGAGGATCTTCCTAGATGAATGACGGACATAGCTTCGATGGGTTGCGTTGTAAAATATGAGTGAATGTGAGGACTGCGGTTTGGGGTACCTAGGAGCTGTGTGGCCTTGAGCAAGTCCCTTTACTTCTCTGAACTTTGTTTCATTTATAAAACGGGGTACTCAGATGCCCTCTTGCGGGACGGTGTTGAAACCCAAGGAAAGAAAACTGAGCTGAGTGCCTAGCTCAGTGCCAGAATAAAGAGAAAGTGCCACCAGCCTTATCAATCCTTGGCTCCGTAACAGTGAATGGGTCTCAATTTTGGGACCCTGCTGGCCGAGCCCCTTTTCCTTCCCTCTAACACATCTCCTGCCTCCTCCCCTCCGGGCTCTGGGTTGCTCCAGCAAAGTTCCTAACTTAGTCGACATGACGTGCGGCGCAGCCAATGAGAGGCTGAGCTGGCGTTTTTGGGGGGGGCGGGAGGGGTGGGCCCCGCGTCTCCGGTGTCTGCCCTGCTCAGTGAATGGAGAGAGCGAGCGCCGGCCAGCTCACCCGGCCGCCCCGTGCCCCAGTCGCCGCCGCCGTGCTCCCGAGCTCAGCCCCAAGTCGGACCTCCTCGGGCGCCGTGCCCCACTGCGCTCGCCCCCAGGTCCCCGACCCGGCCCACGCCCCGGGCAGCGGGCCAGCGGGCCCAGGAGGCGCTCTGTACCTGGGCACTCCGAGCGATGCGCAGCGGGGCAACAGCAGCCCCGCGGATGGAGCTGCTGCCGCCGCCGCCGCCGCCCGGCGCGCCCCGCTCCGCCCGCGCCCCGTGCGCCTGAGCGCCGAGCTCGCTCCTCCTCCGCGCCAACTCCGCCGCCGGCTCCCCAGGCCGCTTGGGCTCCGCGCGTGATTCCCCGGGCTCCACGCGTCTTGCCCCGCCGAGGCAGCCTCCTCTGGGCGCGGGCCCCTGCACACCATGGCCCCCGGGCGGACAGGGGCCGGCGCCGCCGTGCGCGCCCGCCTGGCGCTGGCCTTGGCGCTGGCGAGCGTCTTGAGCGGGCCCCCAGCCGCCGCCTGCCCCACCAAGTGTACCTGCTCCGCCGCCAGCGTGGACTGCCACGGGCTGGGCCTCCGGGGGGTTCCCCGGGGCATACCCCGCAACGCCGAACGCCTGTGAGTACCCCCGCCCCACCCAACCCGGGCCACCCACCTGGGTCCACAGTGGGGCCCCCAGGCACCAGATCTTTCCTCTCCCCTTGGCCGCACTGGGTGCAGTCTCTGCTGTCACCTCTCCCGGGTCGGATCCTTCATCCCCTGATTTGGGGTCTGTGGCGTTGGGCAGGTCTAGGGAGAGAGGTCTTGAAGCCCACTGCGATGGGCAAAAAGCAGTGCTTCTCCAGGGGTGAAGGCTCCAGACGCAGGGCCGGGTGACAGCTTCCAGCAGAACGCTGGCAGGAAGCGAGGGGAGGAAAGAACACTGCAGTCAGTGAGGTCTTAGGACGAGGGCAAGGGATCCGCGCACATTTAAGAGGTGGGCGAAGGAGAAAGCCGAAAGGTGATGGGGCGTAAGGGCACGGAGACCGGAGAGGGCCGAGACTCCCACCTGCCTGAAGATCAGAAAGGGCCAGTCACTTTCCGGCTGCCCTTAGAAGCGAAGTTGAGAGTGTGTGTAAAGGTCTAACTTCTGAGGAACCAAACGAATTGAGAGTGGGTGCTTGCAAAACCCGCCCTGCCTGGAGCGCAGCCTCCCAGATGCCAAGTTGCAGCCGGGGTGAATTTTTTATGGCTTGGTTATAAATGCCTCCCCAAACGGGCCGGAGAATGGAAATGCTGACAGCCCTTTAAATGAGACCGAGCGCTATAATCTTACAAACCGCACTCAGCCTCGGATCCTGGGTTTGGCAGCGAGAGGAGAGGCGTTTGGAGAGTGGGGTGGATTGACCCTCGTTTTAACCCCAATTGTGCAACCAAATATTTACTTTTCATATGTCAACGTTTTGGAAACATTTATCATTTTGATCCTCGGACCAAATTCAAAACTTGGACTCCGAGGGTGGGCTCTTCCCAGCCCACAGTTGGGGAGTAAGGAAAGAAGGAGAAATGGAGGAGGGGGTTGGAACCGGCCTGGGAACACAGCCCAGAAGTGGGTGAGGGTTTGCTTCAGTGTAATCAACTTCTCCGTGTCTTGCTTTCCTTCTGTCTCCCTTGCCCATTGCCTCTCAGGGGTGGCTGCATTGGGTCTTCCATTCTGCTCTCTTGACTTGAGGCTGGAAGAGAGTGGCACGAGACTGAATTGTCCTGCAGCGTGTTATTCCTGTTGATCACCTCTTGTCACCTCACTTCTCTTCCTCTAACTCCGTGTGTCCCTAGGCAGAGACTCAGTATAACTGCTTTCCTTTCTCCTGGAGCTTTCCTGTGGCTCAAAACATACATTTTTTTTTTCTAAGTGCATTCATTATTCTGTGTGGTCATGCAATTCTAGAACACTGGAGCTGAACCTTCATTAACATATGTAGAAAAGGAGTTTCAGACATTTGAAAAGACTTGCCCAAGGTAATGCCCAAGTTAGTGGCAATAAAGGGGCCACAATCCAGGTGTCCACAGCTTAATTCAGATCTTATATTTTACAGTACCAGTTAAAAACTTGTCGTAGTGGTATTTTTGGGTATCTCCCATTCTACTAGCCATCTTTGGAACAAGGGTCAGTTGGGGCCAAGATCTGTAAATAGATGGTCCTGGGAGGGTTCTGGCTGGGCTTGGGTCTTAGGGTAACCTGCTCTTGTTACTGCTTCGGGTGGACCCCGCCAACATTCAGCTTGCTATGACATTGGCTCTCCTGTTTGGAATCGTGAGACTACCTCTCCTCCATCCTCAAAATCATGGTATCTGTTTGGGAAACCGGGGGTGGGGGTGGGGATGGGCCCTTCTCCTGCTGGCAGGTAGAAGTCTTCAAAAGCTATAGACACAGCACTGCAGTCAGTATGCCATCCACCCACCTTCACCGGGAGAGAGACCCAGGCAGCTTGGAGCGCCCCATCTGCTCTACCACTGGAGACACTGGGTGGAGACCGAGTCTTGGGGATTCCCATGGCCCCCTGCTGCAGTCATGGTCATTCGCAGGCACTGGCAGAGTGGGACGTGCTTTGGAATATCTGAGTCTCAACTACCTTGCACTGGTGCCTCTTGGGCTGGGGTGTGTGGAGTGACGTGGCTACCAAGGCTGGCTCCTCATTTTGGGCTTCCTACCCTGGGAGAGGGGACAGCCTTTAGAAGAAAGCTTGGTCAGGAGGGCTGCAGGGGGAGGACCAGCCCACCCACAGTCCTTCACCACCTCTCATCCTCTGTCAGTCAACGCAGATGGAACGATTGAGTTCTGCAAACTCTTGGGGGTATGTTTGGCATTTCTAAGCATGGGAAGGATTTTTTTAAGGGAGGAATTTCTCATTCATTCCTTTCTTCATTCATTCAACAAACATTACTTGAACCTCTATGCATTCCAGTAACTGTATATAAAATCATTGCATATACAGAAGAAAACCAGCAATTCAGCTTAAAGAATGTAAGCAGAGGACAGAAGAAGGAAACTTCCTTTGGTCAGGCTTTGAAACTTCCCAGGACTCGTTTTCTTCACGGGGCATATGGTCTGTCAGCCTTGGCATCACATGCTCAGGACTTTCCTCAAATCCAGTTTTCTGATCTCTAATGTTTATGTTGTATTTTATAACAAAGGAGAAGCATTTTCTCCTTTTTCCATTCCTGCTACTTGGCCTCCCAGAGAGGCTTTTCTGTAGGAGTGTGTGTATGTGTGTGGGTGTGTGTGCACATACATGTGCAAATGTGTGTCATTGTCTCTCTGGGGGTTTTAACTTCTGAGGCCTTATGTGCTCATGCTACCCCTTAGGGAAAATCTGTATGGGGATAATGTGGTCACCATTTGGACTTTTTGCTTCAGGCCTGGAATGGAGCTTGTTTCATTTTTCATAATTAAGCTGGTATCAGAGTTGGGGGTCTGTGTTCCAGCTTCTTCTCCATAATGTCAGCACATTACACAGAAAGAGAAACTCTCTATCGTTTATAAACTACTGACATTTCTTCCTCCTCAGTGAAGAGGTGACACCCACAAGAAAACTAAATAAACGCAGGGGAGAATTCAGTGTAATTTATTATCCGTGCAGCAAAGATAGAGGACAAGAGGAGAGGAAGTGAATGGTGGTGCTTGAAACAAAACATTTACCATGGAGCACAGAGTAAACAGATGTCGCATTTACCCTTCTGAGTACAAAAGGAGCCCACAGATGTAATTCTTCTCCAACCACAATCTCAGCCTGGAAAAAGAGGAGACAGATGAAAATGAACTCTCACAAGGGGCCCCTTCTCCCCATGCCGCCTCAAGGCAGGCAGAGGCCTACTTCTCACCCGCAGCGAGGTGGTGGCCTAAACAGTGGAATGGGGCAAGAGTGGACATCTTTGGTTTTTCACTTGGCTCTGGAACATGCTGGAGACTGCTGTATTTAAATAAACATTTCCTGTTTGCAAAGGAAAACGGGCGAAAGGCTGAAACGTGAGAATGTGGTAACTTAATTTTCTCCATCACTCCAGATGATGGCAAACTTCGCCGGTGGTTGGGTCCAATAAAAACCGACACCGTGTCACAGGCTTTCCCTCACTTGACCACAGAGGTCTCCAGGTCAAGTGGGAGACGTTCCAAGAAGCTCCACAGCCAAGCCCTGCATCCTGGTACTTCTAGCCTTGGAGCCAGCCCAGCAGACGAGGGGCAGTTTGGTGAATCACGGGCCCTCTCTGAGCCACCCGTGGTGATGTGGCCTTTCAGGGAAGCACGGTGCTCTCTTGGTGAACCTGTGGGCTGGACGGGGGCAGTTAAGCGCACCTGCCTCCAGTGTGCTGTGCTACTGGATGGATTGCTTTGCCTTTCTGGGCTTCCTTTTCCTGAAAGCAGAAGTCTAGTGTAGTCCTAGTAGTTTTCCCTGTATGGTCCTCTTCTCCAGTGCCTGACACATGGTAGGTTTTCAACCGGTATGTGTTGATTAAATAAGTAAGTCTCAAAAATACAAGTTTTTCTTTAGTTCTTACAAGTAAAAGATGGGTGATTATGGTTTTGTGCTTTTTATGTATGGCCAAGGGCGACTTACTAGTAACCTATTACATGAGCTATTAAGGGTTTCTAAAATTTGGCTTTCATGAACTAAAATTATTGCCTTACTGGAGTTACCAAGAACTCCTAATGAGGGATGCACTCTGGAGTCTGGTTGCCAGGTGTTGCTTAGCAACCTTGCAAAACTCCTACTGTGCACATGCCCATGAAAAGAGCTGGCAGTCCTGAACACTTAAACTGTAGGCCTTTCTAATCAGAAGCTCATCAGCATCATCCTGAGCTCTCTGCGGTTTTTGATTGCTGCTCTTCTTGTATTAATTGATGTATTTGTAGGATTATTATTAAGTTTTGCTTTTGCACATCATCTGGGTCTTGTATATTTCTGCATTTTTTGCATTTTGATTGTTATTTTGTTTCTCTCCGGTTCTGTTTGTTGTCTCTGAGTTCTTCCTCCCCTGCAAAGTGAAAATGGTAAATCTGAGAGCCATGGGATCTTTTGCAAGGACTAAGTCGGCTGTGGCAAGGTTTCAGAACCCCATGCCTCCCAGTTCAGGCTGTGGGCTCTGCAGACAGGCAGCTCTGGTTTGAATTCTGTCTCTGTCAGGGCTTTGCTGTTGCACCCTGGGCGAATGACTCCGCTCCTCTGGGCTGTAGTCTGTTTAATCCCTTTGTACTGCATTTCCGCAGCCGTAATACTGGGATGATGATCGCCCTGGCCCTGTGAGCATGCTGTGAGTGTGGCCCCAGACGAGCCATGTCGGGCACTCAGCACAGTGCCCAGTTCTCTAGCTACTGCTCTTTACCCATAAAGTGTGCGTCATAAATGCTCCTCTCGGGGAGAAAATAATGAACAGGAAGTGCTTAACACAGTACCTGGCACTTAGGCCTCCACCAGCTATCCGTAGTGGTGACTATGGCCGTTTCTTCTGTTGCTTCATTTCGGGCCCCATCCAACTGGAGAGTTGGAGATGCCCACTGTTTCGGTGTGCTCCACTGAGGCAAGCTCCTCGCCTGCACATACACTGTGCCCGGCGTAACTCATGCCTGGTCCCCTCCCTCT